CATATTGAACTTCTCTCATCTCTTAGACATAACATTCATTTTTACACCTTTTAAAGCTGTTTATACAAAAGGTCGTTGGGTACTTCTCCTCACTGCTTTTTGTGACTCAATCGTAGGGGTCAGATGATAGTATGTTATAAAAGCAGAAGCATCAATGGATTTTCAGGAACTTGACCAGGACAGAACAGAATTGTACTTAGGTGCCTAAATCCATTTAGATGCCCAATAGGCAGAACAGAATCTAGTTCTTTAAGTCATATCAGCTTGTGATCTACTATAAATGGCCAGTCCTTTCCTGCAGTACTGCAACCCAGTCAGTCACTCCCCAATTTGGATTTTTGGATTTGATCACTCTTCCCTAAATGCAGGACTTTGCACTTGTCATTATGGACTTTAATTCTGGACCATTTTTCCAGTTTATCAAGGTCATTATCAGTCAAAACACTATCCTCCCAAATTTCTGCAACCCCATCCATTTGGTATCATGTGCACATTTACTAACTGTGCACTCAATCCCATCCTTCAAATCATTAATGGAAATATCAGATAGTACTGGACTGGGAATAGATTCCTGGGGAAGTATTTGATACTTCCTCTCAACTGGATATTGAGTGACTGATGACTACTCTTTGAGCTTCATGATCCAACCTGTTATGTATCCACATAATAGTAGTGTATTTCCTTAGCTGTACGTCATGATGATGATGCCCTGAGCCATTCAGTATTCTATTTTAAGAAATACTTAGCAAAGTGTTATGGATTAAATGTATTTACTAAATACTAAAATACTTGGCTACTGTACTAATAGTCACAGGACTGAATAAAGTTAAATCAGTTCTGGCACTTACATAGTATAAACATGTTCCCCCGCCTTTTACCACTAAAAACAAGGCTTAAAGTCTTTAAAATCTTGAATAAACCAAAAGGTACTCTTTTGGCTCAGACAAAAATATTTAAATACATGAATTACCAAGTACCACATCAACAGATACTAACAGTGTGTATTTCAAAAGTACAAATGACACATTTGGTTTAGATTTTATTAGTACATTCTTTCATCAAGAACAGTGATGTAGCCACAGGGATAATGTTATTTAGTGTTATAGAAAGAAGAAAATTGTTTAAAAGCAATTATAAGATCACAACTATACACAACTAGAACATGGTTGAAGGGATGTTAATCATAAGGAACAGAACTTTTTTTTGAATGTATCCTGATTTAGGCACCGACACATGTCATTCCCATTAGACTGAGGAGTGTGTTAACCCCTTATAAGAGAGATATAACAAAAAAAACTTTGCATTTACAAAGCACTTGATGTTTTGAGAGCATTGTGCATGTTAGCTTATCCAGACACATTTACACTACATTTACACTACAAAGCTTCGGTGTCAAAACTAGAAGTATGCCTGCACCCAAAGCTCCTCTGCAGAAGCAGAACCCTCCTCTCTGCTGGCAGAGTGCCATCAATTCTGTCAAATGGATGAAGGTCTTGTCTACACTGAAGGGCTTCTGTCAGCAAACATACACCTTGGCAGCTTCTGCTGGATCCACACACCTCCACTTCATCACCTGTGCATTGCAGCTTGTCTATACATGCCTTCTGCTGGCTGCTGAGTGTCAGCAGAAGCCTTCTTGCAGCTGAAAGCTAGTGTTAACTCTGCTTTGTTAATTGGCTTTGTATCTGGGCTCAGATTTTACTGCCCCTTACCTCACACAAGCTCTTGAAGCCAAATTCATTCCTGATGTATCTACTTTAACGCTGGTGGAGTTATACCAGGAATGAATTCAACTCTTGATTTCTGGGAGATCTTGAACTCTGGCTATACCCAAGGCTGCTCTGTGAGAACAGAACACTTGCTTTTCATCATTTAGTCAGTGGCACTGCTATCTGCCATAGCGTATGCAGATCAACGGGAGTCTCTCCACTGACTTCACTGGGCATTAGATCAACCCCTCAAAAGGAAGAAATGAGTCAAGCTAGTTTATTCATAGCAGAAAGAAATCAAGGGCTGAATTCATTCCTGGTATAACTCCACCAAGGTTAAAGTAGCTACATAAGGAATGAATTTGGCTTCAAGAGCATGTGTGAGGTAAGGAGCAGAAAAATCTGAGCCCAGATACAAAGCCAATTAATATTTTCAGCAGATCTCACTAACTGGAATTTTCCACTTCTAATCCCTCTGCAATACAAACCAGAACATTTAAAACATACACAGCATTACAAGAATTCCGGGTGGCAGATTTACCTTTACAAATAAATAACTTCTCTGACATTTTACAGCAGTTTTATGATGCTATGTTTCTACATTCTAGTTTCCCTTTTCTTTTGGATTAAAGGGAGAACATGGAAATAATTACACACTTTGCCCGTAAAATGAATGGGGGAAAACTCTTGAGATATAAACATTCTGAAAAAACACCATATCTTCTGCTAAAGTTAGTCTGACAATCCCAGACACTCAAAAAATGTTGGTATGACTGTTGCAGTAGGCCCTGATCCAGCATAGCACTTGCATGCATGTAACTTGAAGAAAACAAATTTCCTCACATGTTTAAAGTTGCTCATGTGCTTAAATGCTAGCCCAGCAAGCCCAGTATCATAATGAAAAAAGAATATACATTTTCTGTGAGCCTTCCAAAAATGCCAGTGTTGGATACACTGCTCCCTTCAACTATTGTACAGAGAAAAGAAAGTATGTACAGTGTATTAAAGGCATTGACAGATGCTAGAAGCTATGCTTTCCTGTTTTCTTTATTTTACAATGGATAGACGAAAAAGAAAAACAGCAGGAAAGGGTTTTCCTCCTCATGCTAAAGAACAGGATGTAGGCTGTGGCTCACAGCTAACTCTTTTGTCACAATTTCTTCTCCATTAAAAGCTCTATGGTTTTCAGAAATACTTTGTGCCCTCATAAGCACATACTTTTTTCTTTTTAGCACCATTTTTCAGTTATATAGGATTGGTTCCACTACACTGAAGTAAATGATACAATGGCCATTGACTTGAAACCAAGATAATGTCCTCTACCTTAGATGCTCAAAAGCTGAAGATTTTCAAAAATGTTTGGGGTGCACCTCAGGTTTGGAGGTGTCCAGTCTAAACAGGAAAAAAGACCTGTTTTTTCTAAAGTGCAGACAAACCAAATCTCTGAAAGTTAAGCTCCTTTCATGGGCTCCAGGTTGAGCACCCAAAAGTGAAGGAACTTAAACTCATTACAGTCACTTTTGAAAACCCTTGCTTTATCAGGTTTGATATACTCTCTGCCTGGTATATCAATGGAATAACACAGTGGTGAATGGCCCCATAAATCCCACAAAATATATACATCACTTGGGGTTAAGGAAGGAAAGAAAACCCCAGGCATTCACAGCCTGGCAGGAATGTTTTACTACAAAATATACAGGACCAAAAAATTTAAGCTGTAGGCAGATCAAAGGTAATTACACTGGGAATCTTTTACAAAGATATGGGAGAAATCACTATATGTTGGTAGCTGTGTAGTATGTTGGGGGCAGGAGAAGCACAGTGCATATACTAATACTCAAAAAAACCCCAAACCAAATATTAATTCCTTTCATTTTTAGCAACACCAAACATTAACAAGATAAAGTTATTGTTAAAAGTAATTTTTAAAGTGCACTCCTTAACCCCCTTGCAGCAGCACAAGAAAACAAACACATTAATTGTTGCTTCCCTGCTCTTAGTTTCACATCACCAACATAATATTTACAATCTGTTTTAAAAAATGTACTAGCCAAAGAAAGTGTGCTAGCATAGGTACATATTTCTGTCTAATACTGTTTTTCTAAAAGACATGACAGTTTCATATATTTTCCCTATTAGGGTCTGATTCAACTTTCAATGAATTTAAAGGAAAGCCGTCCTTTTCTCTGATCCAGCCCTTTGTGTGTGTGAGAGTGAAAAGAGGTGCACACATGCCACTGATAATTCCACACCCAGCATACCCCCACTTGTCTAGAAACAGCCCAAAACTATTAAACTGGAGATATGCCAGGTTCCTAGGTTAAGGAAGGTAAACAAAGCCCTCTTTATCCTCCAGACACATTAAATCAGTATAATAGAGAAGGACCTCTTTGACCTATGGCTCCATGACCACCTTCTTGGCAAACCAAACTGACCCTCTCCATTATTTTAGATGCTTTGAGACTAGTTTTTCAAGCTACAGGATTCTGTGACTTCCCTTGGAATAACTGAAAGAGTCTGATATTCAGTAAAGCACAAAGCAACAGAGGTAGATTTAGGTGAAGGCACAGTCTCGTCCGCTCTACAATCTACAGGCTGCAGCATCTGTTTAGGGGAGATCACAGGACCCCTGCTCATGCCGAGAGACCCATGGAAACCAAGGGCACTATTTGTAACCCAACAACAACCCTGCTCCCTGCATCAGGCTGGTGCAAAAGAAGAGAGGGCCAGGGTTCCATCTCCTCCTCACCACTTTCGGAGCAATAAAAGCTGGGGCTGAGATTGTGACTGGCCTTACATGCAACATGCAAGGGGCTATAGGAGACTTATTTTTCTTCCCCTTGCCCTGCACATCCATGCAGGGCCAGAAAATTATACTGAATTCTGCAAAGGCTATTCTAACCTATCCAAGAGGAGCTGGAGGGAGGACAAATATGTCCAGTCTAGACTATTTACAGGCTTCTCTCACACAATCATGAGGAAATCCTGCCTACCCATATGAAGATGTAGACTGGGCTTGGGTATTACTTCGGTTTATAGAAAGGGATTATCTTCTGTCCTTTCACATGGCTGTTAATTGGAAACAGATAGTTCCTCCTCAGATACTTTTTCTCACCTTACGCCCTTATGCTCTCTCTTGTTCACTTGTCTCACACCTTTTAGCTTAACTGAAGAGTCCTCACATCCTCACCAACTGAACTCAGTGTGGGCCTCGATGCACGTGCAAGTGATTTGTGTGCGCAAGACCAGGTACAGAGACATCACATTCTCAATAGCTCTCTCACGATGCCTCTAGGTATGGATGTGAGAAATTTTTAACACATTCCTAGCAACACAGAATTCATAGTTAATCATATAAGCAAGTATTTGTAGACTCTCATCTAAAAAAAGTTTATATTGTTAAAAAAAAAAATTCAGGGTTCAGTGTGATTAATTTTCTAAAAATAAAAGAGAGTTCCAGGGACAAATATTAGCCCTATAGAAATCAGTAAAAGTATTGACATTGATTTCCATGGGAACAGGACTGAAATCTTGATCTAAACAGCTGATTAACTGCTCCCATGCAGATATTTGGTGGAAATGAGGAAATATTTTTTTTCATATTTACACAGGACTATTGTGTGGGGGAAAGTGTGTTTGCACATGTTTATTTTTAAAATAAAAGTGGAGAAAATCAAGTGAAAAATTAAAGACTTTCATTCATTTTTTTCTACAGCCAAACAAGTAAATGCCATTTCCTGAGTCAGGGGGCAGGCCAGGACTCATACCCAAAGTTTGCAGTCTGATTCTTTAGGATTTAGAGACAGCCAGTGTGAGTAAGGTCAAAGTTGGATAATGTTTGGTTTCTTATTTTCTCAAACAGGTTGACTGGTATTCAAGTTTAAGTTGCAGTTATACACACACATACATACACACACACACACACACACACACACAAATAGTATATATATACATGTAATATATATGAAATATGTACACACACATATTGCTGCTGCTTAAACATATATATATACACACATGCATACTTAATTTCATATATATAAATTTCAATAGGGCAAATATTTGTCCCTGGATCTCTTTTATTTTGAAAAAAATAATCAAGCTAAACAATGAAGTTCATTGGTTTTTAACAATATAAACTGGTTTTGATCAATTCTGAAAATCCTTGTGTACATGAGTAACTTTCTAAAGATAGTGTTGCTAGGATTGTGTACATATCTATCTATCTATCTATCTATCTATCTATCTATCTATCTGTGTTTGTGTGTATACACGCATACATATACATATATATGTATATACATGAATACACAAACACACACACACATATACATGTATATACATGCACATACACATGTGTATATACACACATACATATATAGGTGTGCATGTGTGTGTGTATATATGCATGCATGTGTGCATATATACACGTGTGTGTATACACACACCCATATACACACATGCGCACGTGTGCATATATACACGTGTGTGCATGTGTGTACATACAAAGCCATTTCAAGGCCAGAGGGCCTGGACAGTGCCCCAGAAGAAGGGGAGAGCCGAGGCCCACAGGCCTCCTTTCCAGCCAGGCCCAGGTACCTGAGCAGGGCTCTGGCCTTTCAGGAGGGGCGGAGCTGTCCGACAAGCACCACCACCACCAGGCCCTTTCAGCTGCCTCCAGCCGGGCCCCAAGCGGTGCCATCCCCACCGCCTCAGGCCAGGGCAGGGGCCGGCGCCTCCCCCAGCCCCAACCCCAGCCCCAGCCTCTACCGGGGCCGCGTCCCCGCAGGCGGCGCCTGCTCGGGCACCCAGCAGTAGCCGTCGGCGGCGCTGCGGGCTTTGCCGCTCTGCC